AGAACAATTTTTAAAATGTTATAGGCAAATCTCACATCAAATAGTGTGACTCAAGTTAATCACCTATTGATAAGGTTCCCAGTAACCACTAACAGCTTGCAAAACACAACCCCAAGATGAAAAGAGATTTATCACCTAGCCTATCTAAAGGAATCGTTCAGAGGCTCAGATGACAATAGCCACCCAACAATGAAAAAAAATCTTTCTAAGAAGCACAGGACTGTGGCAAAAAATGCAAAGGTCCAGGGGGACTGCTTTTAAGAGAACAGCATGCATTTCAGTATGGAAGTCATGCTATATAAAAGAAGCCCTGCTGTCCCAGTGAGTTAAGTATTTGGTTAACTGCAAGGTCACTGGTTCAAACTCAGGGGAGACTCCCTGGGAGAAGATGAGACTGTCTGCTTCGATAGCGACTTTGTCTTGGAAGGCCTACATAAGGTCACTGCAAGTCAGAATGGACTCGACCCCAGTGGGTATGTATGTACTTATGTTCATTAAAATCCATAACATTTTGATAGCTAATATTTTGGAAAAGGATATCTAAAAAACAGGAATAAGTAATTACCTTCAGATTAATTTCTGAAAATGACATAAAAGCTAAGGGAAGGTATTAGAAATATTTAAATATTAAATATTTAAAATAAAACTAAATCTAAATAAGTAAGTCAACATTTAAAAAGGCATCTCTCCATGGAAGGAGCCCTGGTGGGGCTCTGGGGTAAGTGTTGGCCTGCCAACTACAAGGTTGGTGGCTCAAACCCACCAGGCACTCCGCAAGGAAGCATGAGGCTGTCTCGTCCTGCAAATATTTACAGAGCCTCAGAAAACCTGTTTAAGGTGATTACAAACTGGAATCAACTTGATGACAATGACTTGGAAAGTTGCATTTTAGTAGTATCTACTTTTAGATACCGTATATACTCAAGTATACGCTGACCTGAATATCAGCCAAGGCACCTAATTTTACCACAAAAATTGCATTAAAAATGTGCTAAAAAAAAACTCGGCTTATACACGAGTATACACGGTATATTCGGTCTGAACACACAGGAGGGCAGGACGCCAAGGCTTTTCTTATCCACATCTTGGCCGGTGCCCTTGACTGTGGTTCTTACAGCACAAGCGAGTCATTGTCAGTATTCTCATGTATTTAACTACTATTTTAAAAGCTAGGAGATCAAATGTTCATGGCTGCTAAGGTTAGGTTCTAACTCAAGTCATAACTTAGACCAGTGGTTCTCAATCTTCCTAATGCCCCGACCCTTTAATACAGTTCCTCATGTCATGGTGACCCCCCCCAAGCCATAAAATTATTTTCTGTTTTTTTGTTTTTCAATCATTTTATCGGGGGCTCATACAACTCATCACATCCCATACATACATCAATTGTGTAAAGCACATTTGTACATTTGTTGCCCTCATCATTCTCAAAATGTTTGCTCTCCACATAAGCCCCTGGCATCAGCTCATTTTTCCCATAAAATTATTTTTGTTGCTACTTTATAACTTTAATTTTGCTACTGTTATGAATTGGGTGACCCCTGTGAAAGGGTCGTTCAACCCCCAAAGGGGTCGCGACCCACAGGTTGAGAACTGCTGACTCATACTGAGGTTTAAAAAAAAAACAAGTGACAAAATAATAATTTATAAATTATCAAGGGTTCATGAGGAAGGGGGGAGCGAGTTCTTACATTTTAAAGAATTAAAAATATTATTTTATTCTATACTTAAATAGCTTTCAAGATAATTGGGTGGCATTATAACTCTCAGAAATGGTTCATTATTTCTTGCCACAGTAAGATTTAATCTGAGATAGAAAACCCAGGTTAGGCAGTACTTCTAAATCCATGTCACTCATTTAATGCTGCAAAGCTTTAGAATCTGCAAATTTTTGCAGATTTATAAATTACCAAGGGTTCACGAGGGAAGAAGGGTGGGAGAGGGAGGGGAAAAAGTGAGGAGCTGATACCAGGGCTCAAGTAGAAAGAAAATGTTTTGAAAATGATGATGGCAACAAATGTACAAATGTGTTTGACACAATGGATGTATATATGGATTGTGATAAGAGCTGTACAAGCCCCCAATAAAATGATTTATTTAAAAAATTTAAAACATAACATATCATACATATCACCATACATACATATGGCATGCATATACATAATTTAATAACTGAAACAAAGGTTCATGAAATAATGCAGTTCCTGACTACACATGTACTTTTATTCTATTTCAGTTTTTAAATGCTACTCAAGACCAGCTATTTTCAGTTTGATAAACACTACTCTAAACAAAGAGAAAAATGTACACTTAGCTTCAGGAGGTACTTTCCCTCCATTCCCTCAGAATAAACAAATGCCAATTGTAAGTAACTTAAATAGTATTATTTCTGACCAAGATGACTATCATTGACTGAAAATACTGCATTAATTTTTCAGTTTGCCTTCTTGAGTTTTTGGCTGTTGGGGACATTCATATTCCTTTTCCAAGAAGAGAGAATGAAATGAAGTCAATCTAAGTAAACTAGAAATTCAGGCAAAAAAATGATTCTATCATGCTCAATTTTTCTACATTCTAATGCTAATCCCCTTCACAAATATCTCAATAGTCAAAATCTGCAAGTTAGACTAGATTTAATCATGAAGATTTTACAGAACTGGACACTCTTTTGTAATAGTTAGATATACTTTTCAAATGTAATCTTGATATTATACCAAACCAAACCACTGCTATCAAGTCAATTCCAACTCACAACAGCTCTATAGAGGGTTTTCAAGTCTATGAATTTTATAGGGGCAGACTGCCTAACTCCAGAGGAGTGGTTAGTGGATTTGAACTGCCAACCTTACAGTTAACAGTCCAATGCTTAACAGTTGGTACCATTAGCTATTCCAGCACAATACACTACTCTTTTTTTAGACTACAAAAAAAAAATAGATGAAATCAAATTTAAATAATTTGTATCATCTTAGTAATTTGAGCCAATAGACCTATAAGCAGTTGTCTTATTTATCACTAAAAGGTGAGTTTCAATACAGTCTGCTCTTTATATATAAAATTATTACAGCCTAAATCAGATCTATCCAAATAGGAGGGAGCTTCAAAAACTCAGCAAAACGGAATTAAAGGACAGTGAATGCAAAGTCCCCTCTCCAATAAAGCCTTCCTTAAATTCTCTGGGACCATTCATAAGGAATGTGTACAACCTTGCCCTCAGAGTACATTGGGAAGTTAATTACTACTGATATAGTTAGGAATTCACATTATCTTCTGCTTTCTCTTGGGTTCAGGTTTTTCTGTGTTTTATTTTGTTGTCAAGGTTGTTTGTTTGTTTGCTGTTGTTTTTAATTTTTTATGGGACCCAGGCTAGGTGAATCTACAGACAGTAACGAGAGTAACAGTCCCTTAAGGGTAGGGCAGGTTGAAGGGTAGTGGAGAACTAATAATGATGGCACAGCAGAGAAGAAAATGTTCTAAAATGAGTTGACTGCACAACTCCTTTTAATATATTTAAACGACTGAATTGTATGATACATGAGTTATATGTCAATAAGTTTTTTTAAAAGACAATGGAATTTTTCTGTGAACTTTTTGGAGGCCTAGCATATATTTTTAATTACAGTTTGGGTGAAGGTTTACAAAGCAAATCAGTTTTCCAGGCAAAAATGTATACCTTTTGTTTCACGGCCTGTGATGTAACAGCACTGTGGGATACAAAAAGGCTATTTCCCAGTTTGTCTCCCCCCAATACTTGTCAGACCTAGGACACTGCCTGCAACACAAGGTAAACTATTGTAGCACACTTGGAAGCAGCTTGCTGAAGGCATCAGCCATGCAGAGCAATCAGACACTATTGTCTATCCCACCATAGGTGGGGCTCACACCCCACTGATAAGGATAGTGATTGTGTCCCTGGAGAGCCCAGAGTAAAGCTCAAACACATTCCAGGGCAACTAAGGTTAGGCTGCCATCTTGAATCTAGGATCCACCCCTCCTCTTCCTATTGCATGTACACCCCTAGATCATCCCCCTCCCATTGCTGTATTGCCTATGGTATAACCCCTTCCTGTGACGTATGTGGTTCCCTATAAATCAGGGGGGCTTGCATGCCCCTAAGAATATATGAGCTTTGGTTAGAAATATAGTTGTACACTCTCCTCCCCCTCTCCGCGTGGACCTGGCTGCTGAGATCCTGGGCGTCCAGGTGAGCATGCTACCATGAAATGTGTCTGACTCCTTTATTTTATCTTCTCTCCTCTTTCTCCAGTCTCTATGACTTTACTATAAGCTTTGTATATTATCGCCGTACAATTGTGCCTACGGACCCGTGATATTGTCAGAGGCCGGTTACTCTGACACAGCACTTTTCCCATTTCGTCCCTGGGTTCCCATTTTCATTTCTCCTTCTTTCCCACCCCTTCCTCCCTACTGAGCTTGGTTTGGGGGCAAATGCTGTCTATTGGTTTGGTATGGATGACTGAGGAACACATTCCGCAGGGGTGGTATTTGTTCCCTTTATAGGACTGCCTATTTGACTGAAAGTTAAACCATGAGAGCAAGTTCAGGTCTAGGTTTGAAGAATGTCTAAGGATGTAGTCTCAGAGGTTACGACCTGGCTCTATCAGACCAGTATCTCTGGTCTTTTTCTTTTAAAAAAAAAAGAGAGAGAGAGAGAGAGAAAGATAGCAGCCAATTAATTCTTTGCAGCACCCAGGGTCTACAGGTACAACAGTTAGAATTCCAGCACATATTTTGGGGGTTTAGAACTTTAACAATGATATCTTTTTTATTATTATTTATTTGGCTGATCTCCCTCTCTTTATAAATTATAAATGAGCAAGTAATCGTATTAATTGTTTGCACCACCCAGAGTCTGCAGATATCACCCAGAGTCACCAGTCTATCAGACCAGTAAATCTGGTCTTCCTTAGGATTTTGAATTTTGTTCTCCATTTTTCTTCTACTCTACTCAGGACCTTCTATTGTGATCCCACTCATACCTGTCAGTAGTGGTAGCTGGGCACGATTTACATCTGCTCTCAGGGCAGTGGAGGCTGTGATTCAGATGGTCCTTTATAATCACTGTTTCCTTGAGCCTTGGATTTTCTTTACCCTTCTTTGGGAGGACACCAATAGTTAATAGTTATATCTTAGATCTCTGTTCACAAGATTTCAAGACCCCAGTCTACTCACCACAGTTGGGCGTGGAACATTGTCTTGGTGAGCTATGCTATGTTATGCCAATAGACCTACATGAACCCTGATACGACAGCCATACACCCCAAGCTTACTCTATTCTTTAAATTGTGTTTTAAAATAAACTATAAGCATGAAAGATTTTTTGTTGTTGTTTCTTTTTTTAAATCATTTTATTGGGGGCTTATACAGCTCTTAACACAATCCATGCATCCATACATTGTGTCAAGCACATTTGTACATTTCTTGCCATCATCATTTTCAAAACATTTTCTTTCTACTTGAGCCCTAGATATCATCTAATTTTTTCCCCTCCCTCATGAACCCTTGATAAATTATAAATTGTTATTATTTATTCATGTCTTACAATGACCAATGTCTCCCTTCATCCACTTTTCTGTTGTCTGTCCCCCAGAGAGGGGGTTATATGTAGATAATTGTGATCAGCTCCCCCGCTTCTCCCCCACCTTCCCCTTCCCCTCCTGGTATCACTACTCTGGTTATTGGTCCTGAGGGGTTTTTCTGTCCTGGATTCCCTGTGTTTCCAGCTCTTATCTGTAGTGTACATCCTCTGGTCTAGCTGGATTTTTAAGGTAGAATTGTGATCATGATAGTGGGGTGGGGAGGAACCATTAAAGAACTAGATAGAGGACTACATATAACCTCCTCCCTGGGGGACGGACAACAGAAAAGTGGGTAAAGGGAGACGTCATACAGGGCAAGATATGACAAAATAATAATTTATAAATTATCAAGGCTTCATGAGGGAGGTGGGAGAGGGGAGGGAGGGGAAAAATGAGCTGATGCCAGGGGCTTAGGTGGAGAGCAAATGTTTTGAGAATGATGAGGGCAACAAAAGCACAAATGTGCTTGACACAATGGATGGATGGATGGATTGTGATAAGAGTTGTATGAGCCCCTAATAAAATGATAACAAAATAAAATAAATAAAAGAAGTCCTGATGGTGCTGTAAAAAAAACAACTAGAGGAAAGTTATGTTTCATTGGTGCTATACTGCACCCTGACTGGCTCATCTCCTCCCGGTGAACCTTCTGTAAAGGGTCCAGTTGCCTACAAATGGGCTTTGGGTCTCAACTCTGCACTCCCCCTCATTCAAAATGACATAGATTTTTTGTTCTTTGATGCCTGATACCTGATCCCATTGATACCTCATGATCCCACAGGCTGGTATGCTTCTTCCATGTGGGCTTTGTCACTTCTTAGCTAGATGGCCACTTGTTTGTCTTCAAGCCTTTAAGATCCCAGATGCTATATCTTTTGATAGCTGGGCACCACCAGCTTTTTCACCACATTTGCTTATTCACCCACTTTGTCTTCAGCGATTTTGTTGGGAAGGCGAGCATCATGGATTGCCAGGTTATTAGAACAAAGTGTTCTTGCATGGAGGGAGTACTTGAGTAGAGGCCCAATGTCCATCTGCTACCTTAATGCTAAACTTATAAATATATGTACATAGATCTATTTACCCATCATATATATTTACATATATACATGCCCGTATTTAGACCTCTATAAATGCCCTTTGCCTCCTAG